TGGTTTTGGGATGCGGTAGGGGGAGGGGAGATTTTGAAGCTTGTGAAGTCCACATTGATACCATTGGGCTGCAGGGTTCCCAAGCGGAATATGAGTTGCTGTTCCTGCAACCTTTGGGTAGCATCGTTGTGCCACTGCAGGAGGCCCAGGATGCACATGTCGTCTGAGAAATGGGAGGGGGAGTTGAAATGGTTCGCGACTGGGAAGTGCAGTTGTTTAGTGCGAACCGAGCGTAGGTGTTCCGCAAGGCGGTCCCCAAGCCTCCGCTTGGTTTTCCCGATGTAGAGGAGGCCACAAAGGGAACAGCGGATGCAGTATACCACATTAGCAGATGTGCAGGTGAACATGTGCTTGATGTGGAAAGTCTTCTTGGGGCCTGGGATGGGGGTGAGGGGGAAGGTGTAGGGGCAGGTGTAGCACTTCCTACGGTTGCAGGGAAAAGTGCCGGGTGTGGTGGGGCTGGAGGGGAGTGTGGAGCAGACAAAGGAGTCACGGAGAGAGTGGTCCCTCCGGAAAGCAGATAAGACTGGGGAGGGAAAAATGTCTTTGGTGGTGGGGTAGGATTGCAGATGGCGGAAGTGTCGGAGGATGGTGCGTTGGATCCGGAGATTAGTGGGGTGGTACGTGAGGACGAGGGGGATTCTGTTTTGGTTGTTATTGCGGGGAGGGGGTGTGAGGGATGAGTTACGGGAAATGCGGGAGACACGGTTGAGGGCGTTCTCGACCACTGAGTGGGGGGGGGATGTTGCAGTCCTTGAAAAACGAGGACAGCTGAGATGTACGGGAGTGGAATGCCTCATCCTGGGATCAGATGCGGCGGAGGCGAAGGATTTGTGAATAGGGGATAGCATTTTTGCAGGAAGGTGGGTGGGAGGAGGGGTATTCTAGGTAGCTGTGGGCGTCGGTGGGCTTGAAATGGATATCGGTTTCTCGGTGGTTGCCAGAGATGGCGACAGAGAGGTCCAGGAAGGAGAGACAGGTATTGGAGATGGTCCAGGTGAACCTAAGGTTGGGGTGGAAGGTGTTGGTGACGTGGATGAACTGTTCGAGCTCCTCGTGGGAGCACGAGGCGGCGCCGATACAGTCATCAATGTAACGGAGGAAGAGGTGGGGTTTAGGGCCAGTGTAGGTACGGAAGCGGGATTGTTCCACGTAACCTACAAAGAGGCAGGCATAGCTTGGGCCCATGCGGGTACTCATGGCCACCCCCTTTGTCTGTAGGAAGTGGGAGGAATTGAAAGAGAAGTTGTTGAGGGCCCTGATATCAGTGGTTGACCAGTTGTTGGAGTGAATCCTGAGGGATGGGATTTACATGTATTTGGAAAAGTAACAACTGACTAGGGATAGTCGACATGCCTTTGTGTGTAGGAAATCGTATCTCATTAACTTGATTGAGTTCTTGAAGAAGTAATGAAGAGGATTGATGAGGACAGAGCGGTGGGCGTGATCTACGTGAACTTCAGTAAGGTGTTAGACAAGGTTCCTCATGGTAGACTGGTTAGCAAGGTTAGATTACCTGGAATACAGGGAGAACTAGCCATTTGGATGCAGATCTGGGTCGAAGGTAATAGACAGAGGGTGTGGTGGTGGAGGTCTGTTTTTCAGACAGGAGGCCTGTGACCAGTGGTGTGCCACAAGGATCGGTGCTGAGTCCACTGCTTTTTGTCATTTATATATATGATTTGGATGTGAATACAGCAGGTATGGTTAGTAAGCTTGCAGATGAGACTAAAATTGGAGGTGTCGAGGACAGTGAAGAAGGTTACTTCAGAGTACCATGGGATCTTGATCAAATGGGCCAATGGGCCAAGGAGCAGCAGCTGGAGTTTAAATTAGATAAGTGTGAGGTGCTGTGTTTTGGAAAAGCAAATCAGGGCAGGACTTATACACTTAATGGTAATGTCCTGGGGAGTATTGCTGAGCACAGAGACCTTGGAGTGTAGGTTCATAGTTTCTTGAAATTGGATTCGCAGGTAGACAGGATAGTGAAGAAGGCAACAAAGACAGAAGTTGCTGGAAAAGATTAGCAGGTTTGGCAGCATCTGAAGAGAAATCAGAGTCAACGTTTCGGTATGCTTGCCTTTATTGGTCAGTGCATTAAGTACAGGAGTTGGGGGGTCATGTTGCAGCTGTACAGGACATTGGTTAGGCCACTTCTGGAATACAGCATGCAATTCTTGTCTCCGTGCTATAGGAAGGATATTGTGAAACTCGAAAGGGTTTAGAAAAGATTTGCAAGGATGTTGCCAGAGTTTGGAGGGCTTGTGCTATAAGGAGAGGCTGAATAGACTGGGGCTATTTTCCCTAGACTGTCGAAGACTGAGAAGTGACCTTTATCGAGGTTTATAAAATCATGAAGGGCATGGATAGGGTGAATAGCCAATGTCTTTTCCCCAGGGTTGGGGAGTCCAAAACTAGAGGGCACAGGTTTAATGTGAGCCGAGAAAGATTTAAAAGCGTCTTAAGGGGCAACGGTTTCACACAGGGTGATGCATGAATGGAACGAGCTGCCAAAGGAAGTGGTGGAGACTGGTACGTTTACAACACTTAAAAGACATCTAGATATGTATATGAATAGGAAAAGTTTACAGGGACGTGGACCAAATGCTGGCAAATGGGAATTGATTAATTTAGGATATCTGGTCGGCATAGATGAGTTGGACCAAACAGTCTGTTTCCGTGCTTACGGGGCACGTGTTTATGGTAAGAGGGAGAAAGTTTTAAAGGAGATGTGCGAGGTAAGTTTTTTTTTACACAGAGGGTAGTAGGTCCCTTGAATGTCAGCCAGGGAAGGTGATAGACTCAGATATGATAGCAAAGTTTAAGAGGCATTCAGACGGACAGCTTTTAGAACAAGCAGAGAATAGATGGATATGGACCATGTGCATGCAGATGGGATTAGTTTAGAATAGGATCACGTTTGAAGTGAATATTTTGGGCCGAAGGGCCTGTTCCTGTGCAGTATGGTTCTGTGTTTTAGAAAGATTGAGAGGGTACAGTTCTCAAGTGATTTGCAAAAAAGTAAATGTGATAGAAGAAGAAATGGCACTGACTGGTGGAGTCAGGTTCATTCGTGGGCATCAGATGATTATTTAAGTAGAAGTAATGTGCCGAGTTACATGGAAAATGTGGCAAAATGGCCCTAAATCATGATGCTCGTTTGTGGAGATAGTGAAGACATGATGGGGCTAAATAGCCTCCTCTGAACCATAATGATTCTGAAGTTTGAATTTATTGAGGCTAAGCTATGTTTTTGAGGGTTATGAAAAATAGACAGGAATATATAGTTGAGGCCAAGAGCAGTTCAGCCATGCTTTTATTAAATGGTGAAGCAGGCTCAAGGGCTGAATGGCCTACTTTGCTGTATTTCTTGTGATGTTATGCAGCTCCCTAGATTTCTTTACTTTGCCACCCATGTAATTATTTTCAAATGACAGTACTGAGACAGAAAATGTTAACATGGAAATAGGTTAAATATTGGATTAGGAAAAGGATGTGGAAACAGGTTAAATGATTGAAACTACGTGCTCACAGGAAGAGTCAATGCTGACGTTACATGGTTGGGTTTAATAGAAACGTTGAAATTAGGAACAGGAGAAGGCCTATTTGTCCATTTGAGCTTGCTCAGTCATTCACTGTAATCATGGCTGATCATCCAATTCAGTACCTATATTTCATCCCTTCAGCTCTAAGAACTATAGCTAACTCCTTAAACTTTCAATGTTTTGGCCTTAACCACTTTCTATGGCAGAGAATTTCACAGGTTCACCTCTCTCTGGGTGATGAAATTTATCCCTATTCTCAGCCTTAAAAGGCCTACTCCTTACCCTAAGACTCTGACCTGGCTGTGGCTTATTTGTGTTGTAATTTAATCTTTACCACCTACATTATTTCTAGCGCAATAGTATCTGAAAACTGAGCTAGCATCTGCATATTCTAAGCTGTTGCGTCCAACAGAAAAGAATTCCGGTTGAAGACTTTGTAAATATATATTTGACTCTTTCATAGTGTAATTAGTTGCATCCTGTTGAAGTACATTCCTGAAATTTGCGCGGTCTCAGTCCTATTAATGGCTGTACAGAACTTTCTGCTCTAACTGGTATTTAATTTGCCAGGATAAATTTGAAAGCAAACTGAGCAGGTGTTTCCTGTGCTGTCACTATATGTATAGTTAGTGCTGGTTTATTTTTGTGAATGCTGTAACTTTGTATAAAGTATCTTGGCTCCATATCGCTCCCAGAGATTGATCAAATAGCAACTTGTTTTGTTGTTCAGAGGCATCGTAGGTTTCTCTTGCTTCTCATCCGGTTTGATCTGCTGATTGCAATTATATGACCTCATTTCTTGTTTGTTGGTGTTTGGGCAAAAGTATGAGGTTGTGGGTCAGGGCCATAATAACTTCATTCACTTGGCATTAAATTTCTCAATGCCTGGACAACCTCCACTTCATACAAGATCCTGTCTTCATTCATGGACACTCCTACCCCCAAAATTTTGTAGCCCTTTCCACAAACGTTGCTTTCTCAGGCCCATCAAAATGATTGCCTTGGTGCTGCCCTTCTCACAATGCAGTTCTGCCTTATTTTGTTTTCCATTGTTATTAGTGTGTGGTTGGGATTCAGACACCTGCAGAACATGCATAGGAAAAGACACAAAATTTCAAATATTCAAGGTTGAATAGTATTGGGGATGGAGAATGCTGTCCGAAGTAGAAAAGGTTCAGATTTGGACTTTGCTGTTATATGCCTATAATGCAGCATGAACAGATCCCTCTGTATCTTGTTGATAAGGTTTAACACAGCATTTTTTGGTCTAAGAAAGTTTTATGTGTAAATATCTGCAATGTTAACTTCTTTAGAAATGGTACCTTGTAATTTCTTACCTGCTCACTCATAGAATCCCTACAGTGTGGAAACAGGCCCTTCGGCCAACAAGTCCACACATCCCTGAACACTGTGGGCAATTTACCATGGCCAATCCACCTCACCTGCACATCTTTGGACTGTGGGAGGAAACCGGAGCACCCGGAAGAAACCCATGCAGACACGGGGAGAATGTGCAAACTCCACACAGACAGTTGCCCGAGGGTGGAATCGAACCCTGGTCTCTGGTGCTGTGAGGCAGCAGTGCTAACCACTGAGCCACCATGCCACCCATGTGTTTTACTCAGCAGAATTGAGAAAAAGATGGGTTAAATGATTGCCTACACTTGACCTGTGATCTTTCTCTTGCAGTGACTTATATCCAGGAAGTGACTCCATACTTGAAAAAGCCCTCATTGATAGCAGACCTGGCATGGGACAGCCTCCCTCCGCATTCTCCACACCTAGGAGCTGCTGGCTCCAGTTCTCCAAATCATTGTGCCAAAGACAGCAAGATTTTCCCGCTGAAGATGTGCTACATTGCAAGGAATCTGAGCATGCCTGATCCAGAGAGCAGGTTGAATGCTTAATCACAATAAGTGATCACAAATGTCAGTTTCACTTAGGCTGATGAAATGTATGAGCGAGATTCCATTCTATTTTCTGTATGATGTATCCCCTCATTCTGTCATTAATGCAGCTACACTGTAACTAAACAAGAAAGCAGAGGAATAAAAAATTGAACTGCAGGCCAGTTGGCAATAACATTTTATGTCCAGAAAATGCTATATTATTTAGCATATTATAATAACGCTTAAAAATTGATACATGATTCCATAAAGTTAGCATGGTTTTATGAAAGAAATGTTTTCTTTTACAAATCTGTTCAAGTTTTTAAGGTAGAAAGTGTAACCATTGTAAGCAGTAGATGGAAGTGTAAAGTTACAGAGATATTAATAGATTGAATAATGGTCACAATTGTGGTAAATTAATTTCAATGTAGGCAAATGTGAGGTCATCCATTTTGGACATAAAAAGAATATAAAGGGTATTTACTAAGTCATAAAGTAGAGGTAGTGGTGGCCCAAACGATCTTTAGGGTCCAGGTACATGAAACATTAAAGTATCATGCACATGTACAGAAATAATTTTAAAAATGAATGGAATACTTACATTTAAATCTAGAGAATAGAGTACAAATGAGTAGAAGTCATGCTTTAAACTCCGGTTAGGCCACATTTGGAGTCACTGTTAGCAGTTCTAGGCACTAAGCCTCAGGAATGAGATGTTGGCCTTGAAGAGAATGGAGTTTGTTTTACTAAAATAATACTTGAACTCAGGATTAAATTACAAGCAAAGGCTAGACAAAATAAGTTGCACTCCCTGAAACTTAAATTGAGGTGATTGTTTTGATATCTTGAAATGTCTTAAACCAATGTAGATGGAGAGAAAAGATTCTAGAAATGGGGGTGCGGTAGGGGGCACGTAGCCTAAAAATTGATGCCAGACCTTTCAAGAGAGATTAGGAAACACGTCTATACACACAAGGTATCTTTATTCTCCAAGTGGCAATTGACGCTAAATCAGTTGTTACTCAATTAAGATCGGTGTATTTTGTTATAGTTTATGGTGATAAATTGGAGAAGGGCAAAGGGCTAAGGATCTTCATGCTGTAGATATTTGACCTCTAGAGACCGATATGTATTCATGACTTGGAGGGAGGAAGTGATTGTCCTATAGCCAAATTTGCAGACAACACAAAAATAGGTGGAAAAGCAAGTTGCGAGAGATATGCACACAGTTTACAGAGAAATATTGATAGGTTATGTAAGTGGGCAAAAGTTGGCAAATGGAGTGTAATGTAGGAAAATGTGAAGTTTTTAATTTTGGAAAGGAGAACAAAGAACAGAATTATTTAAATAGAGAAAAGCTGCAACACAAAATGACTTTGGGGTGCTTATGCATGAAACACAAAAAAGCTAGAACTCCAATACAGGCAATTAGGAAGGCAAATAGAATGTTGGCCTTTATTTCAAAGAGATTGGAGTATCAGAATAAGGAACTCTTATTGCAAGTGTACAAGGTGCTAGTGAGACCACATCTAGAATGCTGTGAGCAGTTTTTTTTTCATTCGTTCATGGGATGAGATCATTGCTGGCTAGGCCAGCATTAATTGCCAAGAAGGGATTGCTGTGGGTCTGGAGTCACATGTCGGCCACACCATATAGTTTTCTTTTCTAAAGGACATTAGTGAACCAGATGGGTTTTTCCAACAATTGACAGTAGATTCATGATCATCACTAGACTCTTAATTCCAGATGTCTGTTAAATTCAAATTCCATGATCTGCCGTCAGGGGATTTGAGCCTGGGTATCCAGAACATTATGTGGGTCTCTAGGTTTGTAGTCCAATAATAATAACACTAGGCTGTTATCTCCTCTTGGTCCTGTTATTGAAGGAAAGGTATCACTTCATTGGAAGCAGTTCAGACAGCGTTCACTAGTATGATCCCTAATTCAGAGGAAGTATTTTATGAGCAAAGGTTAAATAGGTTGGAACGGTACTCATTAGAATTTAGAAGAATGGGGGTGATCTTATTGAAAGGTATCGGATTGTTAAGGAACTTGACAAGGTAAATGATGACAGGATGTTTACCCTCATGGGAGAGCCTAGGACCAAAGGGCATAGTCTCAGAATAAAGGGGTGCCAATTTAAGACTGAAATAAGAAGGTATTTCTTCTGAGGGTTGAGCATCTTTGGAACTCCATGCTACTGAGAGCTGTTGTGGCTGAGTCCTTATGTATATTTAAGACAGAAATAGATTCTTGATCAGTAAGCGATTCAGAGGTTATAGGGAAAGGCAGGAAAGTGACAAAAGGAATTTCGGATCAACCATGATCTTATTGAATGATGGAGCAGGCTCCAGGGCCTGAATAGCCTACTCCTGTTCCTATATCATATGGTCAAATGGACACTCTGACTCTAAGGAGGAGGTGAAAGAAGACCTGTCCTTGTGCACCAGTCGCTGAAAGTATGCATGTAGGTGCAGCAGGCAGTGAAGAAGGGAAATGGTATGTTGGCCTTCATAGTGAGAGAATTGGGCTACAGGAGCATGAATGTTTTGCTCCAAAAGTTAGGAGTGCGATGGAATACTCCTCACTTGCCTGGATAGGTGCAGTTCCAACAACACCCAAGAAGCTTGACACCATCCAGGAAAAAGCAGCCCACTTGACTGGCACCACATTGATAAACACCGCTCTCTCCACCCACAATGCTCAGTACACACTGCTGCTGCTGCTATCTACGAGATGCACTGCAGAAATTCACCTTAGACAGAACCTTCCAGACTTGCAACCACTTTGATCTAGAAGGGCAAGGGCAGCCAATCCATGGGAGTACCACACCTGAAAGTTTCTCTCCAAACTACTCACCCATCCTGACTTGGACATACATTGCGGTTCCTTCACTGTCGCTGGGTCACTTTCCTGGAATAAAGCCCCCTAATGGTAAAGTGGGTCTACCCACAGCACATGGACTGCAACGGTTAAAGAAGGCAGCTCACCACCACCTTCTCAAGCACAACTAGGGACTGACCATAAATACTGGTCCAGCCAGTGACGCCCACATGCCACGAGTGAATGTAAAATAAATTGTACAGAGCTTTGGTTAGACACACCTAGAGTTGTGTGTGTAGTTTTATCCTCCTCATCTGAGGAAGGATGTCCTGGCTGCGAAAGAAGGTTTACCAGACTGATTACTAGGATGACAGGTCTGAGATTTGAGGTGGGGAATCTCTTAGAAACGTACAAAAGTCTAACAAGGCTAAATAAGGTAAATGCAGGCCAGATGTTTCCAATGACAGGCGAGTTCAGAGCTAGGGGTTGCAGTCCAAGGATATCGGGTAATCTGTTTAGGACTGGGATGAGAAATTTCTTCACCCGGAGAGTCAGGGTAGGGGAACTGTGGGGTTCTCTGCCACAGAAAGTGGTTGAGCCAAAACATTGAATGCTTTCAAAAAGGATATATATATATTGTTCCTTAGGCTAGGGAGATTAAAGGGACTGGAGTGAAAGCAGGAACAGGGTACTGAGTTGGACAATCAGCCATGATCGTATTGAATGGTGGAGCAGACTCAAATGGCTTACTGTTGTTTTCATTTTCTGTTTTTCCATGTTAACCAAAGTTGTTATTGTTGGTCACTTTGGTAGCAGGAAGAGATGCCCAGACTATTTCTTAACTCGTAACAAGTTCGAAGGTTACATGCACATCTGCACTTAAGTGTCCTTGTTAATAAGTCACTGAAGGCTACCATGCAGCAGTAAACTATTGGGAAGACTATTGGAATGTACGCCTTTATTGCTAGATGACTTGAATACAGGAATAGTGAGGTCTTGGTTCAGTCGTGATTAGACTGTACTTGGAGTACTGTGTGAAGTTTTGGTCTTCTTATCGCAGGAAGGATATTGCCATAGAGGGAGTACAATTTAAAAATAAGAAGAATGCTGCTTAAGTCAAGATGAGTTTTTTTTTTAAACTCTGGGTGTTTTGAACCTTTGGAATCCTGTATCAGAGGGCTGTAGAGCCTCTGTCTTTGAGTTCACTTAATGAAGATATTGATAGATTTCTAATTAACAGTGCTGTTCAGGGTTATGGGAATGGAGTGGGTAAAAGGCATTGAAGTATTCAAATAGCCATGATTGTACAGCGTAGCAGAACCGGCTTAGCAGACTGAATGCTTTACTACTACACTAATGTTCTTGCATGTTTGGATTTCCAAAAGTCATTTGATAAAGCAATGCTACGACGTACCGCAAATCCCCATTCTTGCACTGATACACTTTGTGACTCACATGTATGTTTTATTGTTTAAGTTCTTTTTGTTCACAAAAGCAGGCAACTGTCTTCTGGCCCTGACCCTCTGTTGCATATTTGTCATTCCCGCAGGTTATTTGAACTGCACTCCCCTGATGGCAGGCATGTAATCATTCTGCGGAGCAAGGATGCTGTTGCTACACATGCTTGGTTCACAGCCATTCACACGACTATAACGGCGCTGATCCCTCAGGCACTGTCGGAGCTGAATGGGCTGCTTAACCTAAGTGGCAGAGCCATACAGCACGTCGGCTGGCTGGCTGAGCAGGTAGAGAATTCTTGGCTTCTAAGGGCAAGAGGAGTGTTAGGTTGAAGTTAAATAGTTATAAAAACCAAAAGAACTGCAGATGCTGCAAATTAGAAACAAAAACAGAAGTTACTGGAAAAACTCAGCAGTACTGGCAGCATCTGTGAAGAGAAATTAAAGTTAACGTTTTGGGTCTAGTGACCCTCAGAATTGGAGGAACTCTGTTTTTATTGGATAGTTATAACTTGGTGTATATTTCTGTTTAGGAACCTCTTATTTTCCAGTAATCTAGCAACATGACTCTGCAGTTCTGTTATAATCTGACTCTGGGTTACCTTGTGTTACGCTTCAAAGTTTCGTGATAAATGCTACTGGTTGGGAAGCTGATGTGACATCGGTGTAGAATGGAAGTAGGACAGGGCTTCCTGATGTTTGTCTGCTCTGACCCCCTGTTCCTCTGCTGTCTGGCATCTGGCAGTGGAAATAGACCTGCTTTCTTACTTTTAGCCGGAACTCATTGTTTTCCTCTAGATTGCTAGTGTAGCAGTGGTTCTTGACTGCTGGCTATTTATTCTCCTTTGTAAGTGCTATCTATATGTGGCTGTAAAGTTTGACACAGTCTGGTTTAGTTTGAAGACAGTTGTCAGCAGCATTCCCTCTAAGTTGCTTAGTAGGCCAGCCATTGGGAAGCCCCAGACTTGACAATGGTTTTGCTGTTGCATGACTTTTGCTTCCAAAAGCAGCTGCTGAGCACAGAGCTGGGAAATCCAGGATAACAAGGTGTAGAGCTGGATGAACACAGCAGGCCAAGCAGCATCAGAGGAGCAGGGGGGCGCGGGGGGGGGGGGGGGGGGGGGGCGGGGGGGGCGCGTGGTGGGGGAGTGGGGGGGCGCGGGCGGGGCAGAAAGATTGGAGGACAAGGTATAGAAGAGACATTGGCTATGAGGATACAAAATTTGCTGAGTGATAGAATGCAGAATAATGGTCACTGGTCATTTTTCAGACTGAAAGGAATTTAGTAGTGGAGTAGCCAGGACTTAGTGTTAGGATCCTTGCTTTTTCTGATGCATAATAATTATCTTGATCTTGGTGTGCAAGGGATTATTTCAAATTTTACCGATGGCACTAATCTTGGAAGAATTGTAACTGGGTAGGATAGTTTGGAACTCCAAAAGGATGTTGACAAGCTGTTGAAGTGGACAGATGGCAGTTCAGGCTTAATGCAGAGAAGTGTGAGGTGATGTACTTTGGAAGAACATTGAGAGACAATATAACATAGGGGTACAATTCTCAAGGGAATGCAGATGCAGATGGATCTTGGTTTATTTGTGCATAGATCATTGAAGGTAGTAGGACAGCTGGACATGGCAGTTACAACGTTCTCCATTTTATTAATAGGGCATAGAGCACAAGAGCAAGGAGGTGATGTTAAACTTGTACAAGACATCTATTAGACCTCCACTGGAGTAAGAATGAGCAGGTTGGACAAGCTAAGCTTATATCTGCTGGAGTTGAGAAGTCAGATGTGGAGAGGGCACTTCTTATGTGAGAATCGAGAGCTGGGGTCACTGTAAAAATCAGGCATGGTTCATTTAAAGCAAATGAGGTGAAATTCTTTTTTTGAGAGTGAATGTGCTTTTTTGTTTGTTTGGAGTTGCTTGTTAAGCAAGGTGTTGAAAGGGTATCGGGTTGGCAGGAATGTGGATTTTCACTAAATTATTATGGTGCAGAAAGTGACCATTCAGCCCTTTGTGCCTGCACCGACGCACATTTCCTGTCAATCTCCTGCTTTTTCCCCATATCCCTGCGCACTATTACTATCCAAAAGAAACATCCAATGCTCTTTTGAATGCCTCCACTGAACCTGTCTCCACCACATTTCGAAGCAGCCCATTCCATACCTTAACTACTTGCTGTATGAATCGTTTTTCTCACATTACCCATACTTTGTTTGCACGTGACTTTAAATCTCTGTCCCCTCATTCCTTTTTTACATGAGCAAATAGCTTCTCCCGATACTCTGTCAAATCAACTCATGATTTTAAAAACCTTAATCAAATCTCCTCTCAGCCTTCTCTTCTCCGAGGAGAACAGTTTCAACTTCTTCAATCTTCCCTCATAACTGAAGTTTCTCATTCCTGGAACCATTCTTGTGAATCGCTTCTGCATTCTCTCCAATTCAGTCACATCTTACCTATAATCAAGCGCACATAACTGCACAATTTTGGGTTACAATTACATCAGTGATGTTACTGAATGGTAGAGCACACTCAAGGCCTACTCCTGCTCCTAATATATACTTTTGTTGGCCTGGAGGACGTGGACAGCAATGAATATCCAAATACTGCTCAAATGTTAAAGAGTTTCAGTCTACCCTTTCAGACACCACCCTCTGAGTTTAAAAAAAAATAAAAAAATTTTCAACCCCCCTCTTAGCCTTTGCTTCCCTTACTCCTCTGGATTATCAGTCCAGTGATATTACCATTATGTTGCCATTTCTCCTGAGGAGGTGAGGTGGTATTCATTGCAGAAGCAGAGTGAGAAAAGCAATGGAAAAGTTAAAGAAAAGTTCAGTAAGTTGGGCCTGTATCCATTGGAGTTTAGAGGAATGAAAGGTGATCTCATTAAGAGCATAATAAATAGGAGCAGAGAAAAGGCTGTTTGGATTCATGAGCCTGTTGTGCCATTCAATAGGATCACGTTGATCTGGCATTCCTCATATCAGCTTTTCTGCCTTTACCCCGTAATCCTTGATTCCCCTAATGATCAGGAATCTGTCTCGGCCTTAAATGTTCACAAGGACTCTGGCCCCGCAGCTGTCTTGTGGCACAGAGTTCCAAAGGCTGTCAACCCTCAGAGAAGAAAGTTCTCTTCATTTCAATCTTAAATTGGCGCCCCTTTATTCTGAGACTATGCCTTCTGGTCTTAGACTCTCCCAATGAGAGGAAACATCTGCGCATTTACCCTGTCAAACCCCTTAAGAATATTCTACCTTTCATTGAGATGACCCCTTATTCTTCAAAACTCCAGCAAATAGAGTCCCAACTGTTTAACGCTTGTTCATAAAGCAATCCCTCCACACCAGGGTTTGTCCGAGTGAACCTACTGTGAACTGCCTCCAATGAAATTTCCTCTTTTTCTTAAATAAGAGGACCAAAACTGATCTCAGAACTCCAGTTGTGGTCTCATCAGCACCTTGTGCAGTTGCAGTAGGACTTCCTAACTCTTATGTTCGAAGCCCCTTAAAACAAGGGCCACCATTCCTTCAGCTTTCCTGATTATCTACTGTACCTGTTTGTTAGCTTTCTGTGTTTCATGCACAACTCCCTGTGTTGCAGCTTTCTGCAGTTTCTCTGTATTTAAATAACATTATTAAACTTCACATTTTCCTACATTATGCTCCATTTGCTGACTTTATGCCTACTTACTTAACCTAACAAGATCTGTCTGTAAACAGTATCCCTTCACAACTTGCCTTTCCATCTATTTTTGTGTTGTCTGTAAATATGGCTGCAACACTTTCACTTCCTTCCTCCAAGTCATTAATATACATTGTAAACAGTTGAGGTTCCAGCACTGATCCGTGTGGAATCCCACTGGTCACAGGTCACCAACTTGTAAAAGAACCCCTTTATCCCCACTTAATGTTCCCTGCCCATGAGCCAGTTCTCTAAACACTCCATTTTACTACTTCCAACACTGTGGGTTCTTATGGCTTAATCTTTTGTGAGGGACCGTGTTGAATGCCTTCTGGAAGTCCACAGACAACACATCTACTGATTCCTCTCTACCCACCCTGGATGCAATTTCCTCAAACTCCAATAAATTAGTCAAATGCAATTTCCCTTTCATAAAGCCATGCTGACTCTGCTTGATTAGAAATGTATATTGAAGTGTAAGAAATTCCGAGGGGACTGGATATTGTGGATACCTGGAGGATGTTTCCTCTTCTGAGGGAGACTAAAGCTGGCAACACAATATAAGAGTAAGAGATCTCCCTTTTAAGACAGAAATGAGATATTTTCCCCCTGAGAAGTTGTTAACCTGTGTACTTTTTTCTGCCTGGAGAGTAATGGAGGTTGAATCAATCAATTCATTTGAGGCAGAGTTTGATGGATTTTTGATTAATGAGGAAGTTCAGGGTTATGGGGGAAGAACAAACAGAAAAGTAGAATTGAGACAATAATGGGGTCAACCATGATCTTATTGCACGACGTAGCAGGCTTGAAGGGCAAATGGTCTACTCATGCTCCTAATTTCTGAGGTTCTGTCCGTGCCGACTCACTACAGGAGCAGCTCATCTAATATCTCTCTCTAAATAACCTTGAAATTTTTATTCTTGACAGATAAACATCCAAAACCCTTTCCAAAATTAATTGAATCTGCCTCCACCATGCCCTCAAGCAGCACATTTGAGATAATAACTTGTGTTTTTAAAAAAAATCCTACTGTCCCTCTTTTGCCACTCATTTTAAGTTGGTACTCATTTGCTAATTGACAGTTCATTTCTATTCTCATCCCTCTCATCAAGTTTCCATTCAGCCTTCTCTTTAAGGAGAACAACCCCAGCTTCTCCAATCTGTCTATGTAACTGAACTCTGGAATGTTCTTTTTAAATATTTTCTGAGCCTTTTCTAAAGTCTTACAACTCAGTGAGTGTGTTGCCCTCAAACACACTCTCATCTTGGTCCTTGATTCCAGGATTCCCCCGTTATAGCTCTGCTTATTTTTGCTCAGACCTACGGTGGTGTTGAGTACTGGTGTCGGAGGGTTCAATCTACCAATGCTCTTGTGGTCAAGGAGGCAGTGCCTCAGGACCTTGTTAACCACGGTTAGGTTTCCCAGTGCCTGACAGTTGGGGAGAGTAGTGCCCAGGCTGTGTGTTGTCCTGTTGTTTGGGTGGCGGGTTAGGGTGCAAAGTCAGGATCTGGTGCTTATGCAGCAATGGTGTTTTCTTTGTTTTGCAGCAGAAAGTTGAAGGTGGAAGGCAGCACTGGAAGCCAGTGGTGGTCGTCCTTACTGATAAAGATATGCTGCTTTACGACAGCGTCCCATGGAACAGAGACCTCTGGTCATCACCCACTCAGAGCCATCCACTGCTGGCAACCAGGTCTGAACAGTGCTACAAATGTGACAGCAGGAATGTGCTGATAACCAAGCCTCACTACTGCACTAATCACATCATTGGTGTAAATGTTGGTTCAGTACCAAAATGGCAAACTGCTTCTCTTAATATTACTATCAAAAATGAACAAAAACTTCAACCAGGAGAAAATTACTGCAGATGCTGGAATCTGCACTGAAAACAAAAATGCTGGAAATCAGTGGTTCATGCAGCATCCATGTAGAGGGAGCAAGCTAATATTTCGAGTTAGCTCTGAAGAGTTCCCTGTAACCACGTCTCTGTAATTGCCCCTAAATAGTACCCATATGTCTCTTTTTGCCTTGTTAAATCATCAGTTTATTCAGGCTGCAAAGCGTATTCAGATAAAAAAACGTTTATCAATTTTCCCTACTCTTGTAATATTTCTTGGTGCAGTATGATGTTCACATGCTCTGCTTCTTCCTTTCATTTTATGGAAACAATCAGCCTTATTGGTAACCAGCATTCCTACCTTTTAATTTTCTGTGAAACTGAATCCTATCCCCCCACTATTTAGTTGAAAGCCAAATCTGCAGCCGTAGTTACGTGATTTGCTGGGGCTCTGGATTAAGCATGATTTGGTGGAGCCTGTCTGAGCATAACAGCTCCTTCTTTCTCAAGTGCTTGTGCCATTGTCTCGTGAATTTGAACCTATTTCTCCTGCACCAATCTTTGATTAACGCATTTAACTCTTTAATCTTATTGATCTTGTGCCGGTTAAATCATGGCTCAAGTAGTAATCTGGAGATTATTATCTTTGTCACTCTTTTTAATTTAGTACCTCTAGCTGTTTATTTCCTCATCAGAACCACTTTCCTCATTCTGCCTCTATTGTTGGTACCTACGTGGACCATTCAGTTGCATTTTTCACCTCCCATTCCAACTTACTATGCAGCCCAAATTAAATATCTTTAATTTTAGCACCAGTTAAGCATTACAGCCTTCTGTGTGCTACACATGAGTGCCTATTCCCATAACTATACAATCTGAATTACAAATGCATTTCTTTTTTTACCCCCGCACCCCCTTGAATAGCTCCCTGAACTATGGTACTCTGGTCAGTATGCTCATCCTGTCTACAGCCTCTGCTTTCATTCACACAGAAGCCAGGATCTTGAACCTGTTGGATAAGGTCAAGGCTTGAGGCTTCTGGAGTGCAACCTCCTCGATCTCTCTGCATCTCTATTTTACCTCAGTGGATTTTCAACTTTTTCTAAATTTATGATTAGTTTTCACTGTAAATATTTCTTCTATTTAACCTTTAATCTGAAAACAATCAGAATAGGTAGAAGACAGAAATACTTACCTGCCAAATTCTTACCTCTGATGACACACTGGCTTAGCTCTCTGCTCCCAGATCTTGGTCTGCCCAACCCTATTGGTAAACCAGACCATAAGATTGAAGCAGAATTCAGCCATTAGGCCCATCAACCCTGCTCCGCTGTGCAATCATGACTGCTAGGTTTCTCAATCCCATTCTCCTCCCTTTTCCCCATAGCCTTCGATACCCTTACTAATCAAGAACTTGTCTATCTCTGTCTTAAGTACACTCAATGACATGTCCTCCACAGCTTTCTACGGCAGTAAGTTCCAAACATTCATTCCCTCTGGCTGAAGAAATTCCTCCTCATTTCGAATTGAATTGGCTGAAGGCCGGCATATCTGATGCTGGGAGCCACAGTAGGGAGGCCGAGTTGGATCATGCACTTGGCACTTCTGGCTGAAGATTGCTGTGAATCCTTCAGCTTTATCCTTTGCACTGATGTGCTAGGCTCTTCCATCAATGAGGATGGGGATATTTGTGGAGCCTCCTACAGTGAGCTGTCTAATTGTCCATCATCTACAACTGGCTGTGGCAGGACTGCAAAGCTTAGGTCCGATCCATCAGTTGTAGGATTGTTTAGCTCTATCACTTGCTGCTTATGCTGTTTGGTACGCAAGTAAGCTTGATGGTAATGGTTGAATGGAGGATATACCAGACCATGAGTTTGCAGGTAATGTTGGAGTGCGATTCTGCTGCTGATGGCAGACAGCATCTGATGGATGCCCAATCTTGAATTGTGGAATTTGTCTCCTCATTTCAGTTCTGAATGGTCGTTCCTTCACTCTGAGGCTGTGCCGTCAAGTCCTCGACTTCCGCACTAGTGAAAACTTTGATTTATTTATTGTCACGTGTATTTTGTTGCAAGTTACAGTAGGAAGTGTTGTATAGATACGCCATTCTCTGTTGCCATCTTAAAACACAGATAAATAAACCAAAACATAGACTATAAAGGCAGAAAAATAAAGAAACATCTTCTGTGTCCTATCTAGGCCTCTTAGTTTCAATTGATTCCCTGCCCACCCTCCACCTTTCTAAACTCATTGAGTACAGACCCAAAAATCTCAACCGCTCCTCGTATGACAAATTCTTCATCTCTGTGATTGTTCCTGTAAACATCCTCTGGATCCGCTCCAAAGCTAGCCTTTAGATACAGGGCCCAAAACTGCTCTCAATATTCTAAATGCGGTTTGACCAGAATCATGTATAGTCTCAGCAGTACATTCCTGCTGTAATATTCTAGCCCTCTCAAAATGAATGTTAACATTGCATTTACCTTCCTAACTATGATCTGAGCCTGCATGTTAACCTGAAGAGAATCCTGAACTAGGGCTCTGAAGACCCTTTGTTCTTCTGATTTCCAAAGCCATTCCCCATTTAGAAATTGGCCTATGCCTCTGCTCTTTCTACCAAAATGCATAACCTCACACATTCCCACATTTTACACCATCTGCTGCTTTGCCCACTCTCCTAGCCTGTACTTGTCCTTCTGCAGCCTTCTCACTTCTTCAACCCTACCTGTCCCTCCATCCATCTTTGTCATTTGCAAACTTGGCAACAATACCCTTGGTTCCTTTATCCAGATTGTTAATGAATAATATGAATAGCTGACCCCTGCAGAACTCCAGTAGTCACAGGCTGCCATCCTGAAAAAAATCCCTTTATCCCCACTTTCTGCCAGTCAGCCAATCCTCTATCCATGTCAGTACCTTGCACCTAACACCTGATCTCCTGTGCGGCACCTTGTCAAAGGCCTCCTAGAAATCCACGTAAATCAAATCCGCTGGCTCTGCTTTTCCTAACTTGCTCATTACATTCCCAGAATTCCAACCGATTTGTCAAACAAGACTTCCCCTTGATGAAGAGATAACACAGTGTGGAGTTGGAAGAACACAGCAGGCCAGGCAACATGAAAGGAGCAGGAAAGTTGACGTTTTGGGTTGGGACCCTTCATCAGAAGGGTCTGAATTTCTGAAGGAGGGTCCTCTGCTACTGGCCTGCTGTGTTCCTCCAGCTCCACACTGCTGTCTCTGACTCCATCTGCAGTTCTTGCTATCTTCCTGTAATGAAGCTGTGCTGACTCAGCACTATTTTACTAAGCACTTCCAAGTACATTGCAATCTCATACTTCGTAATGGACTCTAAAATCAACAACTGAGGTCAAGTAAATGACCTATAATTTCCCATGTTCTGCCTCCCTGTCGTCTTAAATAGGGGTATTACGTTAGACATTTCCAGACCTCTGTCACCTCCCTGGCTTTAGTGTTTTCTGAAAGGCCTCTTCAGATTTTCAGATAACAAGGTGTAGAACTGAATGAACACAGCAGGCCAGGCAGCATCAGAGGAGTAGGAAAGCTGACATTTCATGTCTGGACCCTTCTTCTGCTCCTCTGATGCTGCCTGGCCTGCTGTGTTCATCCAGCTCTACACCTTGTTATCTCAGACTCCAGCAGCGGCTTTTCATACCTTTCAGCTTCCCCAGCATCTTCTGTTCACCTCTCGTTCCCCTGACTCTCTTGAAGTTCTGGTACGCTGCTGGTGTCTTCCACCACAAAGATTGATGCAGAGTCTTTGGATTGGTCCATCAATTTTGATTTATTGTTATGTGTACCTAAGGACAGCGAAAAGTTTTGTTTGTGAGCAGTACATGCAGATCATAGTGTGAAAACAAACTTGGACTGAGTGAGGCATACAGGTTACTCCGCAAAGTACGTACACAAAGCAAGATCAACATTAACAAGATCAATATCAACAGTCTCTGTACAATTCCTCTGCCATTTCTTTGTGCCCCGTTACTGCTTCTCCAGCCTCGTTTTTCAGCGATCCAATTATCTCTCTTACCTTATATATATCAATAAAACCTCTCATAATCTTCTTTATATAACAAGCTAGTTTATTCTCCTGTTTCATCTTCTCCTCTCTTATTACATTTTTAGTTGTCCTCTGCTGGTTTTTAAAGGCTTCCTACTAATCTTCGCCACGTTGTATGCTAAAACTTTTGTTTTTGCACTGGGCATGACTTTCTGTCAGTCATAGAATCATTTATAGAATCATAGAACTTTTCCCTGTAACGCTGCATTTTCTATGGCTAACGCACCTAATCTACACATCCGTGAGCACTATGGGCAATTTAGCATAGCCAATCCACCTAACCTGCACATCTTTGGACTGTGGGAGAAAACTGGAGCACTAGTGGAAACCCACTCAGACATGGAGAGAATGTGCAAACTCCACACAGTCAGTCGCCCTGGCGCGATGAGGCAGCAGTGCTAAACACTGTGCCACCATCCTCCCTGTCTTTCTCTTACCATATTTCTTCTTCCAAGGATGAATTTCTGCTGTGACTCCTGAGTTACCTCCAGAAACTCCTGTCATTGCTGCAGCACTGTCTTATCAGCTGGGCTCCCCTTCCAATCAACTCTGGCCAGCTCTTCCTTCACATCTTTGTTACCTTTACTCAATTGTAATACCATTACATTCAATTCCTGCTTTTCCCTCTCAGACTGCAGGGTGAATTCTATCATATTATGGTCACTGCCTCCTAGGGGTTCCTTCACCTTCAGCTTCCTAATTAAGTATGCTGCTTTGCACTTCTAAGTCCCGAGCTGCCTGTTCCCTCTACCACAAGCTGCTTTAAAAAAAAATCATCTCTTAGATGTTCCACAAATTCCTTTTCTTGGGCCCACTACTAGTCTGGTTTTCACAGTACACTTGCATATTGTAGTCCCCCATTAGTAACTTCTTGTGTGCCTCTTCTATCTCCTGATTTATTGTTTGTGCCACATCCTGACTACTGCTAGGAGGCCTGTACACAACTCCCGTCAGCGTCTTTTCTCTTTTACAGTTCTTCAAATCTACCTATACAAATTCTACATTTTCCAATCCAATATTGCTTCTTTGTATTGATTTAATTTTATTTCTTACTAACAAGGCAGCCCCACTCCTTCTGCTGGCAATAGAACGTGTATCCTTGGATATTAAGAATCATAAAATTCCCACAGTGTTGAAAGAGGTTGTTCGGCCCATCAGGTTTGCACCAATCCTCCTAACAGCATCCCACCCAAACCCAGCTGCCATTGGTAACCCTGCATTTGCCATGGCTAACCCACCTAGCCTGCACATCCCTGATAATTTAGATGACCAACCTACCTAACCTGCACATCTTTGGACTCTGGGAGAAACTTAACCACCCTGCTGAAACCCACGCAGACACTGGGAGAATGTGCAAGATCCACAGAGACAGTTGCCCAAGGCTGGAATGGAATCCGTGTCCCTGGTACTGTGAGGCAGCAGTGGTAGCCTCTGGGCCACTGTGCCACTCACTAGTGCCCAGCCCTGACCCCCTTGCAACTGCACTTCTATGATGCCCACAACATCGTATGCACCAATTTCAGTCTATGCTATAAGCTCATTTACCTTGTTTCCTATAACTTGTGAACTTACGATTTTCCTCTGATGTCACTCTTTGGTTTATGCGTTGCCCACAATCCTGGGCTTGAATTTATCCTGTTTAAAAATAATATTCCAAACTAAGAGTCAAAAAACAAAGAAAATGCACCTGTTTCCCTCTGAACTGAATTGTCATAGTGCCTATAGAGTCCCTGAGTTATATACTCACTTGGGCTGTGTCTCATACTGGATGTGGCTTCTTCCTGACCATGCAAAGCCCTCTATAAAATGTACCTTCTCCCTTCACTGAACTCCCACTTTCACAAAACTGTAAAGTTCCATTCTCTGCAGCTTGGACTATGATATTTATATTGCTAGTCCAATTCAGTTTCTGGTCAATGGTAACCCCCCAGGATGTTGAAAGTTAAGAATTCAGTGATGGTAATGCCAATGAATGTTAAGGGCTGACAGACAGATTTCCATTTTTTTGGTAATAGCCATTGTCTGGCGATTGTGTTGTGTGAATATTAGTGCATATGTGGTTCTATATGAGCAAGGACTGCTTCAGTACTTGAATATAGTGTTGAATGGTTCATACAATAGCATATATCCCCTTTCCTGACTTTGTGCTGGAATGAGGGTCGTTGATGAAGCAGCTGCAGATGGTTTGGTCTTAGGGCACTTAACTCTCTGTTTGTTTTCCTTTACCCTGTTCTTCAGGTTAGTTCACTCAGGTTCAGCACGAGGATCCCCAGGCATTAGTTCAGAGCTAATGTTTGCCACAAGAACTGGCTCGCGACAAGGCATCGAAATGCATGTTTTCCACGTGGAGACTCACCGGGACCTGTCAACATGGACACGGATGCTTGTCCAAGGCTGTCATAGTGCTTCAGAGTTGATTAAAGAGGTGACGTTGGGTATGTGTTCTGAGTGGTGGTCACCATGTGTTCCATCAGCAGTGTTGGAGGGTTTGGGTGTGTTCCGGTATGCCCATAGGGAACAAGGCTAGCGTATAGGTTTGGAGAATGGGTCTTTGTGCAGGCCATTTGATCTCGGCTATGGTTATTCAGTGGACGTTTTGCTATAAAGATAGTGTTATTTTGTGTGCTGAGAGCTGTGATAACAAGCAGTTTTCAAAATTTCTGGAGCAGACTCAAATGACCTTATACAGGTCACAGAGAATATCCTCTGTTGCACTGAACATGATGTTGTATTCACTTCCGTCACTAAGACTGCTTATCACTACCTCCCTTATATCCATACTATCATTACAACTTTGCTGAAACCCTCATTCATACCATTGTTACATCGAGACTTGACTATTCCAATGTTCTCCTGTCCAGCCCCCTATCTTTCTCATCGTATAAAGCTTAGCTAATCCAAAATGTTGCTGCCACAATCCTAATTTACACCGAGCCCTGCTAATCCAGAACCACTGCTTCATGATTAACATTGAGGAGTTGCTGAGCCAGGCGCCATTTTTGAAATTTTTGCCCTTGATTTTAAATCCATCCAAAGCCTTGTCCATCATTTATCTGCAATCCCTTACAGCCTCCATGTTTCAGTGGCCATCCAATTCTGCCTTTTTGAGCAGACCCCAATTTTAATTGCTCCATTTTTGGTACGGTGTATGGCCTAGACTATGGAATATCCTTCCTAAACTCTTCTGCCCTTCTATTTCTAGTTCCTCTGTTAAGATGTTCATTCACCATTAGGCCTACTTGGTTTCCTACTTACTAGCCATTGACTTAGTCAAGCCAATATGTCGCCTCAATTCTATGCATTTCAGACTTGACTTGTAGTGAAATCCTCTCCTTCCACTTCCATTCCCTTCCCTTCATTCCACTTCCCTTCCAAGAAAGGGCACATGATCTCCTTTATCACTATGGTTTATACCAGATGCTTCTTGCCCTACACTTCTCCTGAATTTGGTGACCATCTTCATGCCTCATGTTCACCTTGTCCATGAAATTAGCTATTGACTCCATTCTCTTGGAACTGCTGACCATTTTCACCACATCGAAGCATTATTACAATTCAGAAGAAGTCCAGAGTGTCTGCACCAGTTCTCTAAATGAGCATTCCACTTCATGGCATTCTCCTCCTCCCTATAACTCTGAACATTCTTCCTTTTCAAATAAATCTAATTCCCTATTAAATACCCCAATTGAAATTGTCTCCATTAACTCCCAGGCAGCGCATTCTTAATCTTGACCAGACACTGTATAAAGAAGTTTTTCCTTTTATTGCTTTTGTCATTTATTTTACATCCTTTTTGACAAACAAGAATAGTTTCTCCCTATCTTTCCAGGCTCCTCATGATTGTGAATATCTCTGACACCTACTTCTCAACCAAGGGAGTGAGTTCTGACATTCCTCAGTCAATGTTCATAACTGACATTCCTCATCCTCAGAATCCTTCTTTGTGAATCTTCTCTATTTTCTCTCATGCTTTCACATCCTTTTTAACATGTAGTACGCAGAACTGGACGCAGGTTGAGCTAGTTTCTTCTACTATTCAACATAACCATCATGTCCTCTTACTTTATATATTATACTTAAAGCTTTAACTACTTTGTCAACCTGTTCTGACATCTGTAATCACTTCTGCATATATAACTTGTGTCCCTTTAGAGTTGTACCCCTTGTTTTGTATTGTCTCCCAATGTTTCCTCCATCAAAATTAATGATGTTGAATTTCTGTCTGTCCGTCCGTCCATTCCACTAACTTGTCTGTGTCCTTTTAGAAATTCTACACTACCTGCTTCAGTTTCCAAGCTCCAAGCTTTGCATCATTTGCAAATTTTGAAAACATGTCCTGTTTCTCAAGGTCTGGTAATTAATATGTCAGGAAAAGGAAGAGTCCCATGTTCTGCTTGGACTGAAGGGTCTGTTTCTGTACTGTATGACTCTGTGACTGTAGAACCAGGACAGATACAGAAACATAGAAGTTGAGAGTAAGAGTAGGTGGTTTGACCCTCAAACCTGCTGTGCTGTTCAAAACAGTCATGGTTGATCATTGAGCTCAATACCCTAATCCCGCCCTCACCTCCATTTCCTTGGTCCCTTTGGCCAGAAGTCCTATATCTACCTTCTTCTTGTAAACACAATGTTTTGACCTCAACCACTTTCTGAGATAGGGAATTCTACAGGCTTGCCACTCTCTGGGTGAAGAAATTTCTCATCTCCGTCCTAAATGATCTACCTCTTATCCTTAAACCAAGACCAGTGATTCTGCACTCCCTCACAATCAGGAACACTGTCCTACATCTAACCTGTCTAGTCCTGTTAGAATTTTATAAGTTCTATGGGATCTCGCTAATTCTAAACTCCCAGTGAATGTAATCCTAACTGATTCAGTCTCTCCTTTAGATCTCTCTGTATGTCAGTCCTGCCCGCCCAGGAATCAATTTGGTAAACCTTTGCTGCACTCCCTCCATAGTCAGAATATCCTTCGTCAGATAAGGAGCCCAAAACTGCTTGCACCATTTCAAATGTGGCCTCACCAATGCCTTGTATTCTGTGGAAAGACATCCTCGGTCCTGAAATTTAAACCTGTCACATCTTGCTGTCTTTACTGCCTGCTGCATTTGCATGTTTACTTTCAATGACTGGCGCACAAGGACACCCAGGTCTCTTCAAACATTCCTCCCCTCTCAGTTTACAGCCATTCAAGTAATGTCTGCCTTCGTTTAGGTTAGATGGGCTTCAGATTGGTTTCACAGGTCGGCGCAACATCGAGGGCCGAAGGGCCTGTACTGCGCTGTAATGTTCTATGTTCTATGTTCGTATTTTTGCTCCCAATGTGGATAAATGTGAGGTTATCACATTTATTATAATTTATCCACATTATACTGCATCTGGCATGCATTTGCACACTCACTCAGTTTGCCCAATCACAGTACATCATCTCTGCATCCTCCTCACAACTTACCCTCCCACCTAACTTTGTGTCATCTGCAATTTTGAGGTATTACGTTTAGCTCCTTCATCTGAATCATTAGCATATGTTGTGAATAACTTGGTCCTCGTAGCAACCAATAGTCACTGCCAGCCCTTCAGAAAAAGACCTATGTATTCCTACTTTTTCCTGTCTGCTATTTTCTATTCATCCCAGTACAGTACCCCCATCCCAAGCACTTTAATTTTACACATTAATCTGTTATTTAGGACTTTGTCAAGCTTTCAGAAAGTCCAAATAAGCCACATCCGCTGGCTCCCCCAGTCGACTTAACTCGCTACATCCTTGAAGAATTCCATTAGATTTATCAAATATGATTTCCCTTTTTATAAATCCATGCTGTGTGAGATTCCAGAAGTACGCTGCTATATAGTCCTTGGTAATGGACTCTGGCATTTTCTCCACTATCCACGGTCAGACTCACTGGTCTACAATTCCCTGTTTTCTCTCTACCTCCCTTTTTAAATTTGGATGGTTTAGCCAATACCAGGCACCACAAATAATCAGAAACTTGCCCTGACCTGTGCGCTCTCTTTATCTGTCTCTTATCCTACACCCTTGTTCCTGTCTCTCTATTAAAAGTTTATAAACTCGTAGAAATTAACATGAAAATGTTGAGCATTTTCAGTTTATGGTTTACAAAATTTTACAATTGATTTTAAAAATTAAATGCCATAATAAACAATTGCACCGCAGGGGGCATGTCTTTATCTTGTGCAATCTTGGGGCAGCTGACATTGGGACATAGCTTTTTGTCCAGGTGTGAGACGTTGAGTTAGCATGAGCTCACTGCAGACAACAAACTAGGCAAGCTCATTACTGTGCTGTTAGCATCAAACAACATGCCAGACTTCAGCTAATTCAATTCATTCCACATGATATCAAGAAATGGCTGAAGATGCTGGATACTGCAAATGCTATGGGCCCTGTCAATGTTTCAGCAATAATACTGAAGACATACTCCAGAACTTGTCTTGCCACTGGCCAATCTGTTCCTGGACAGCTACAAAACTGCCCAGAGATGTCTGGTCCACAGAACGAACAAATTCAACCCATTACTGCCCCATCAGTTCACTCTTGATCATTGACAATGTTATCAAGTGGCATTTACTCAGCAATGACCTGCTGTTCACCACTTAGTTTGGCTTCTGCCAGGACCACTTACTTCTAGCTTCATTATAGCTTTGGCCAACCATGGATGAAAATCTGAATTCCTGATGTAATGTGAGAATAACTGCTCTTGATATTGTGGTATTATTTAACCCTGTGGGGCATCAAGGAACCATTACAAAACTGAGGCCATTGGGAATTGGGGTGAAAGCTCTCCACTGTATGAGGTCATTCCTGATAAAAAGGAAGATGGTTGTGGTTGTTGGAGGTCAGTCATCTCAGCTTTGGGATATCTCTGCAGGAGTTCCTCAGGATCTTGGCTCAACCATCTTCAACTGCTTCATCAATTACTTTCCCTCCATCATAAGACCAACAGTAGGGATGCTTGCTGCTGAGTGAACAACATACAGCACCATCCTCAACTCCTCAGATACCAAAGCAGCCAAAATCTAAATGCAGAAAGACCTGTAATGATATTCAGGCTCAGGCTGGTTACTAAATAACAAGTAATATTCATATCACACAAGATCAGGAAATTACCATCTCCAATAAGAGAGAATCTAACCCCTACTTTTTGACATTCAGTGGCATTTCCACTGTTGAATTCTCTGCTGTCAACGTCTTGGGAGTTACTGTTGACCACAAACTAAATCGGAACAACTGTATAAATACTGACACTACACGAGCAGGTTAGAGGCTGCGAATTCTGCAGCGAGTAACTTGTCTCCTGTCTCTGCACTCTGTGTCCAAGGCCCAAGTCAAAAGTGTTGAAATCCTCCCCTTGCCTGGATGAGTGGCACTCGAAGCTCAACACCATCCAGGACAAAGCAGTCCACTTGTTGGCATCCCATCTAACACCACCAACATTCACTCCCTCTGACACTTGGTGACAACAGTATGTATTGTCAACAAAATGCGCTGCAGCAAACCATGAAGGCTTCTCCAGGAGCACCTTCCAAACCTGTTGCCTGAGCCATCTAGAAGGACAAGGGCAGCAGGTAGATTGGAACACAACCACCTGCAAATTCCCTTCCAAGCCACACATTGTCCTGACTTGGAACTGTATTGCTGTTCCTTCACTTGTCACTGGGTTAAAATCCTAGATTTTTCTAACTGCACTGTGGGTGTGCCAGAAGGATCAGAGCTGGGTCTATTACTTTTTGCCATTATATAAATGATTTGGATATGAATATAGGAGGTATGGTTAGTAAGTTTGCAGATGACAGCAAAATTGGTGGTGTAGGGACAGTGAAGAAGATTATATCAGAATACAACAGGACCTTGGCCCAGTGGGCCAAGGAGTGGCAGATGGAGTTTAATTTAGATAAATGTGAGATGCTGCATTTTGGTAAGACAAACTGGGGCAGGACTTAAACAATTAATGGTAGAGTCCTGGGGAGTATTGCTGAACCAGAGAGAGCTTGGGGTGCAGGTACATAGTTTCTTGAAAGCGGAGTTGTGGGTGGACCGGGTGGTGAAGCCGATGTTTGGCATGCTTGCCCTCATTGGTCATAACATGACCTCCGAACTCCTATACTCAATTTGCAGCTTTACAGGATATTAGTGAGGTCACTTTGGAATACTGCGTTCTGTTCTGGTTGCTCTCCTATAGGGAAGGTGCTATTAAACTTGAGTGTGCAGAAAAGATTTACAAGGATGATGCGGGGACTGGAAGGTTTGAGCTGTACAGAGAGGCTGATTAGGCTGGGGCTTTTTTCCCTGCAGCGTTGCAGACTGAGGTGTGAACTTTGTAGAGATTCATAAAATCATGAGGGATATGGGTAGGGTAAATAGTCGAGTCTTTTTCCTAGGGAGGGGGTTGTCCAAAATGAGATTACGTAGGTTTAAGGTGAGAGGGGAAAGATTTAAAAAGGACCTGAGGGGTAACTTTTTCATGCAGAGTTTGGTGGAATTACGGAATGAGCCACCAGAGGAAGTAATGGAGTTGGGTACAATTATAACATTTAAAAGGTGCCTGGTTGGGTATATGAATAGGAAGGGTTTAGAGGGATATGGACCTAATGCTGGCAAATGGGACTAGATTGGAATGTCTGATGGGCGGTTAGTTGGACCAAAAGGTCTGTTTCCACGTTTTGTGCCTCTGTGCCTCTATGCCTCTATTTGAATAGCTATCAATGTAAGATAATTCATCTAAACCATCCCTATGTTCTTTTGGTAATTAACTCAAGTTTTACCATCTAGTGGATTCAATAGTTGGTAATTTAGGAACTAATGTAATTATCCCTGTTTAGCTGTTGAATCCACACAATCCATTGCAGGAACTGATCATATTGTCTAATCAATAATACTGTCAAAAATTAGTTCTACAGTGAGTGTTTTTTTTTTTAAATAGGATGTACTTGGAATGGACAGGATGTCAAACTGATCATTCATTATGAAAGTGGTTTTGTGATGTCCCACAACAACTCGGCTGTGGACTCATCCAGCCCTCTTTTCCAGTATCCATTTGAAAGATTGAAAATGTCGGCTGATGATGGGATCAGGATGCTTTATTTGGACTTTGGGGGGCCAGAAGGAGAACTGGTGAGTATGGGCTTGTAAAATCTGATGTTTTTGACTTTCATTCCTGCATATGAGGAGACTGGAGACTCCATTTTTTATGCTTCCTGCATAATCTTTCCGAGTAATTTGAAAGTTAAAATAAATGTTGATCTTTTAAAGGCAGGGATAAAGGAAGTTATTGTGGGAAACAAGAAAATTGCAGATAAATTGAACGATTGTTTTGTATATGCTGTACCAGTAAGACGCACATTTACACACAAGTTAATCTTGGGTCTAAAAAAGACTCCGGAAAGTGCCAGGTAATGACAGTCTCATCAAGAGACTGTCACCTTCTCCCGTCAATGGCATTTCCCTCATTGAATACGCCTATTAACGTGCTTTGCCACTGACCAGAAACTGAACTAGACCAGCCCTGTAAATACTGTCACTAGAAGAGCCGGGCAGAAACTGGGAATTCTGTGGCGAGTAACTCATTTTGTGTGTCTCCAATGCCTGTCATCCATTTATATAAGGCCAAGGAGCTCAATGCCGTCCAGGACAAAATAACCTGTTTGTTTGGCATCCCATTCCAACACCACCTACAGTCACTCTTTCTAGCACAGACACCTTAGTTGCAGCAGTGTACGCCATCCACAAGATGCACTGCAGCAACCTATCAAGGCTGTTTGACAGCGCCATCCAAACGCATGACCACTATCATCTAGAAGGACAGGGGAAGCAGACACATGAGGATACCACCACCTGCAAGTTCCCCTCCAAGCCACTCACCATCTTGACTTGGAAATCTATTGCTGTTCCTTCACTGTCACTGGGTCACAATCTTGGCATTGTGGGTGTGCCTGCACCTCAAGCATAGCAGTGGTTCAAGTACTTTTCCTTTATTCATTCACTGAATGAGGGTGTCGCTGGCTAGGCAGCATTTATTGCCCATCTCTAATTGCCCAGAGGGCGGTTACAAGTCAGCTACATTGCTGTGGGTCTGAAGTCACATGTAGGCCAGACCAGGTAAGGATTGCAGTTTCCTTCCCTAAAGGACATTAGTGAACCAGATGGGTTTTTCTAATAATCAACAATGAATTCATGGTCATCATTAGACTCTTAGTTCCAGATATTTATTGAATTCAAATTCCACCATCTGCCGTGGCGGCATTTGAACTCGGGTCCCCACAACATTATCTGAGTCTCTGTACTAACAGTCCAGCGATAATACGACTAGGCCATCCGTTCCCCATAAGTAGGCAGCTCATCAGCATTTTCCTAACAGCATTCAAGGAAGAGAAATAACTGCTGGCCTACCCAGCATGGGCCATATCCCATGGATGAATTTTTTCCAAAAAAAAAGTCATTTATGGCAAAACTTTGACCAAAATCCATCAAATCAGCAGGATCTGATGCCTATTGTGTGCAGATTCTTCAAGCAGCCACATGTAGCCATTCAGCTTTATGGCAATAATACAGCAGATTTGTGCTGCAAAATTTGAAATACTCATGGCAAAGCCGATCCTGTACAGGTACAATCCTGGCATCTACCCAACATTGTGGAAAATTGCCCAGGTATGTCCTGTATGCCAAAGGCAGGGCAAATCCAAACCAAACAATTACTGCCCTATCAGTCTACTCTTGATAATCCAGTCAAGTATTGAAACAGGGTCAAGCTATCAAGCCTAGAAGCGACTTAACTATTGAGACTCAGTTTGGTTTCTACCAGGGCCATTCAGCTCTTACAGCCTTGATTCAAATGTGGACAAAAGGAGGTCATAGATCATAGAATCCCTACAGTGTGGAAACAGGCCCTTTGACCCAACAAGTCCACACCGACTCTTGGAGCATCCCACCCAGACCCATCCCCCTAATCTACACATCCCTGAGCATAGGGGCAATTTAGCATGGCTAATCCACCTAACCTGCATGTCTTTGGACTGTGGGAGGGAACCCACGCAGACATGTGCAAACTCCACAGACGGTCGCCCAAGGATGGAATCAAACCCAGGTCCCTGGCGCTGTGAGGCAGCAGTGCTAACCACTCAGCCGCTGTGCCACCCTAAACTATTCATCTCAAATCCAAACATCTCTGCGGGAGTTCCTCAGGGTAGCGTCCTAGGCCCAACCATCTTCAGCTGCTTCATCAATGATTTTCCCTCTATCATAAAGTCAGAAGTGGAGATGTTGACTGATGATTGCACAATGTTCACCATTTGTGATTCCTCATACTGAAGCAGTTAATGTCCAAATACAGCAAGAATTGGACAATATCCAGGTTTGGGCTTACAAGTAGCAAGTAACATTTCATGCCACAGCTGCAAGGCAATGACCATCTTCAATAAGAGACAAGGGCTTTCCCAACACTGAATCCCCCAAGTATTATTATGAGTTACCATTGACCAGAAACAGGACTGGCTGTATACATGCAATGGATACAAGAGCAGGTCAGATGCCTGGAAGCTGGCAGTGAGGAACTCCCCTCCAGGCTCCCACACCTTTCCACTGACCATGAGACACCAGTCAGGAGGGTGATGGAATATTTCCCACTTTCCTGAATGAATGCTGCTCCAACAGCATTCTCAAGTTTGACACCTTCCAGGACAAAGCAACCTACTTGATTGGTATTGCGGCTACAAACATTTGCTCCCTCCACCAATGACAGGCAGTAGCAGTAGTGTCCCCTCTAAAGCATAGAAACTAGGAGCAGCTGTTGGCCATTCAATATGATCATAGCTGATCCTTTCTGTCAATGCTATATCCTTGCATTCATCTGCACCCCTTGTCATCTTTAAAATCTAAAAGTGTGTCAATCTCTTTTTGAATATACTTGGTAACCTGGCCTCCATAGCCTTCCATGGTAGAGAATTCCACACATTGACCATCCTTTTGAGTGATGAAACTTTTCGTCATCTCAGTCCTAAATGCTCTGTGTGTCCTGAGACTGTGATCCCTGGTTATGGACTCCCCAACCAGAGAAAACTTCCTCCTTGCATCTAGTCTGTCCAGCCTTGTTAGAATTTTGTTTCAATTCGATCCCCTCTCATCTTTCTAAACTCTAATACAGGCCCTGTCTCTCCTCGTGGGACAGTCTGACATCTACAGTGTCAGCCTCAACTGCATCCCCTCCACGGCAAGTATATCCTTTCTGAGGTAGAGACTCCAAAACTACACATACTGCTCCAGGTGTGATCTTGCCAAGGTGCTGTATAATTGCAGGAAGACATCCCTACTTTTGAGCTCTCATCCTCTGCAATGAAAATCAGTGTACCATTTGCCTTCCTGATTACTTGCTGCACCTGACCACTTTCATTGACTGGTGTCCAAGGGCATCCGGATCCATTGATACATTTACACTTCCCAGTACATCACCAATTAAATAATCTGCCTTTCTGTTATTCCCGTCAGAGTGTATACATTTAATCACGTTGTGCTACATCTGCCGTGTGTTTGCCCACACACTACAAGATGTACTGCAGAAGTTCACCAAGGCTTCTCAACACCACTCAAACCTGCAATCATGACCATCTCGAAGGACAAGAAGGCAGACAGATGGGGCATACCGTGTCTACAAGGTTCTCTCCAAGCTGCACACCATCCTGATTTGGAAATATATTGCTGTTCCTTCAGGATCAAGAGCTGGAAATTTTTCCTAACAGCATTGTGGGTATCCCTATACAAATAGACTGCAACGGTTCAAAAAGGTAGCTCACCACTATGTTCTCAAGATTAACGAGGGGTGGGCAAGTAATGCTGGCCAAGCCAGTGATGCCCATGTTCTAAAGATGGAAACTTTAGTGAAAAGTCAGTGAGGGCATGATGTGGCCTACCAGGCTTGGAGGAGCAATTGCCTCCACAAACCTGCAGTGAAATTTGCCAAGTTGTATGCCGTTCTGGGCAGTTTCTGAAAATGTGTGGCGTTCACTGAGGGTCAATATTATCTTGACACATAAGAACATAAGAGCTAGGAGCAGGAGTAGGCCATCTGGCCCTTCGAGCCTGCTCCGCCATTCAATAAGATCATGGCTCATCTTTTCGTGGACTCAGATCCACTTACCCGCGTTCTCTCCGTATCC